ACACTTTTAGTTTAGGTAGTAAGCTTATACCCAAGACTAAATTAAAAAAAATCTGCTATAGTATAATTGTATCTTCTGTCAAAGTGTGCTGACTTATGCTAAAACTAGAGAAAACTTCCATGGGATTAATTTATTTATATACATTTATTATGTCATTAAATAAATTACTATTTTCCTTTTACAAGGAAGTTTTTGAGAAAGTTTACCCAGATTTCAGGTGTCCTACTACAGAAAGAAAGATTTATACTAATTTAAGCTCCTCTGTCAAGTAATATGTTGTGATCTGATTTCAGTTAGTGGAACCAGGGAGAAGCACCAAGTTCCAGCCACATGCTTACTGCAGATGAGCAGCTAAGTGTATCCTGTAGTAGTCGATTCCTTTAACTACCAGTTTTTTGGTATGCCTGTATTACTTCCATTGAGAAATGAAACTTTAGCATTTAGTGATCACTGAAAGCAAATACAAAATATATACTTCTCCCGTACTAAATACAGCCATGTTCTAGGATGGGATTTTGTACTTCTGCCATTTTTTTCTTTCTTCATCTAAAGAGCTAGATGCTGAAGGCTCCTAAGTGTGAATTTCAAGAATCCCAGCTCTTAGCTATTTCTCAGGGTCGGGAGGGGTGTGTTTGGTTTTGTTTTTACATTTTGTGGTTTGAATTTTGAATTCCATTGAAATGGAAGGTAGGGGCCAGTATTAAGATAAAAGTACGTGAGGTTCATCTACTGGCCACACATAAAAATTTTCTTCCTGTTTGAGATGTTTTATTACAACTAGATTTAATATCTGGTTTAAGGAAGAAATGCACATGTGTATCAAGTCTTCTTGAGTAAGTGTTCACCAACTCCTTAAAAATTTTATGATACAAAAATGATTTATTGGATATCTACTGATTATATTATCTTGCACTGTCATGAATAGACTGCAGATTTTTTTCTGAACAAAACCAAAGAAAAAAAAACCCAAAAGAACTGTTTGTCTTAAAAAAAGATCCAAATTTATAATGCTGTAGAGAATTGGAGCAGCCTTGTGGTCTGGGCATTTTGTGGGATTGGATCACACTGATCTGTCCATCCTCACAAATCCATAGACTGGACTTCTCTGAGGTGGGTGTACCTTTCTTTCTTACTCTAGTGAACTGTTACTGGAAAGAAAATTAAGTGTGGATAAATGATAGTAGCTCCTGTAAGATAGCTTGTTTATCTGGATTCAGTGAACAGAAAGCAAACTGAGAACTTAATACCAAACACTTTATTACTTATGCTTGTTATTTACAGTATTTACATATTGCACGTTCGTTGGAATGTTTTATACATTTATTTATATAAAGTAAATTAATGGCAGCTTGTGTTTGTGTACAAAATTCATGCTCCACTGTCCCAAAAAATATGTCTACTTGGAATTATGTTCCTGTTTGTCATGCAATTTTTTACTCCTAGGGTACAATGTGACCCCAGTGCAAGTCTGTTTTAACCAAACTTTTAAAAAATTGCATGAGCATGAAGGATATCAAGTGACCACAACTACTGTGGAGCAGATCTTTAGTAGTTCTAGATATACAAACAAACGTTCCTTAAAATTGTAGTATTAAGCAATAGAACATCAACATTCTTGGTGAAATATTTGTGTTTACATAATTTTTGGCAGCATTACACATCAGTTGTAAAGTGTGTCTTTAAGGATGGAGCATTAAGTACTACTGGCAGTTATACTACTGTAAAGAATGTCAATCTGCAAACTGTTGACGACATACAAAACGCATGTTAAAAGAATTATGGGAAGTAGTCTGTCAATCTGCAAAAATAAATCTCTTGTTCACAATGGAGTATGTTATAAAGGTAATAAGTTCTATTTCCCTGTTGGTTTCCAAGGCACTTCTCTTGGTTCTTGGTGTTTCTTTTCCTGGTAATAGCATCTGGTGGATTAAAAGAAAGAAGAAAATTGCCTTTCATCATTTTTATACTCACATATGTTTAAGAATGTATCATATAAAAACAGTAAATAAAACTGGAGAATTCAGTGATAACTTTGGAAAGCTCCAATAGTACATTTCTGATTTAGCTCAGTTTAGTTTGTATCAAGGCTGACTGCTAAATTACGGTTTTGTTTGTTAATCAAGACTGAAACTTTGGAATATGGTGCCTTTTTGTGCTGGTTCATTTTAGGTAGATGGATTTGGAAATACAGTCCACCTATTCAAAATGTGCTCATAGGTATGTGTACCCTGTTTCTGAGAGCAACTGTGAAGTCAAAAAGTTAATAAACCTCAAGGATAGTATTAACAGGTTACAAGTTTCTGTCTTAATAATGTCTCGGTGTCAGGAAGCTGTTGATACTTCAAGGTTAGGTTTGAAGGATCTAGGAAGGATTTGATGTTTCATTGGGCCTATTGGTGAAGAAATTTGCACTCACATAAACAAGAAACAGAGATAACTTTCTGAGATTCAGTCATATAAATATAGCCCCAGGATGTGCAAACACTGAGGCAACACAAACCAAGTGGGGGCTGCAGTGCTTCAATTTGCCGCCTGTTCTATTAACTCTTCCCAGAATAGTTTATTGGAATGAAATCAAAATCACTGATACAAAGTTGTAGGTTTCCACATTACGTATGTATGTGTGTATCTTGTCTGTGCTCTAGAAATGTTAATTTAAAGGTTGAGCAGTGAAGGTTTCCACAGCCCTTTTTGGCCACACCTTTAAACCTTCTGAGAAAATGTAATGTAACCATCTTGGTGTATACATATCTAGGGATCCATTCTCTCTCCAGTAACTTCAAAGTTTTTCTACATTTTCTAGATAGGTGACCATTGAATGTTGCAAGTCTACCTAGTTCCATGTGTTTCTAAAATAACTTGTTAATGCCCTTATTTTGAAGTGAAAAATGCACTATGCCTTTTTAGTTGACAGGAATTGCATAGGTAAAAGACACTGCTCTTACATGTGAATAGATTCAGCTGAAGCTTGTGTGTCTCAACCACCAAACGACCATGTGGGAGATACAAAACAGTGGTTCTCTGATCCTAGAGTTCTGCTGATGTCATTTTTCACAGTTAAAACTTTCATGTTGCCTGTATGAACATATGTCACTGTCTTTTCCATGGTCAGTGTGAATTCTTTGATATTTTGAGTTTCTCTACATTTTTCTACCACGTAAGTATAATTTGTAATAGAATCATCTGAATGCAAAGTCAGTCAGACTTGACATAATCCATTGGAAATCAAGCTACTGGTGTATACAGAAATACTTGTTAGTAGCATTTAAACATATTTAGTTTTGCAATTTTTTTAAGCTATTAGGAAATGTAAGAATGTTACAGAAAAGCCTAATTTGTGTTTTTTTCTGGCTTTGCGGATAGGACTAAATTAAAAAAAAAAAATCCTTAATTAAATAAATTTAAATAAAACTTAAATAATTTTTCCTTGTCTTGGATTTTCATCTAGCTTATTTTCTGTGTGTATGCCCCTACTGTACCCTATTTAAACAATGTTGTTTAAAAGTGATGTTTAAAACCAAAATAACATGCTTTTGGTTTGATCAGTGTGTGGTACAACTGATTAGTTAAACTGAGAATTTAATAGTTTTTTTCAGGACTAATGGGAATATGCAGCTCACTGAGGGTGAAAAACGAGTGGACAGGATGCTCATCTGTCATCTCACCTATACCTGCTTTTGTATGGGTATCTCTGGAAGATCTCTGGGTCTTAGATTCCCAGTGCTCAGCTAAACTGTGGTTTTGTAAATCCCTGGCATTTTCAGAAACACTTGAAAGGTCCTCAGATTTTTAGTACTGATCAATCTGTTGTTCTTGTTCTTTTTTTTTTTTTTTTTTTTTTCCCCACAGTCTATGTTACATTTATCAGTCTAGCAAAATTATACCAGAATTTAGCTGAAGGATGGTGGGTAGTCTTAGTGAAGATCCTGAATACTATTTGCAGTATCTATTGAGAACATAGGTAGCTATACAGCTCCTTTCTCCTCTTTTGATTCTTAGTTCTGCTTTGCTAATGCAAATTCAAACCAAAGAAAAAAAACAAAATGCAAACCCAACCAGCAATATTAGCTGAAACCAACCAAACCGTCAAATTTTTCCAATTTTAAAAAGCACAAATGAAAGCTATTGTAAAGTCATATTACAGCTTTCCAAGTTTGGTTCTAGGCATTATCTGTGCATGATGATAAACTCTGTAAGAGAAAGCTAATCTACATAAGAGAATAATTTAGTGCTTTAAATATCAATATAAACTTTAAAATATTGAGCGAGTAGGATTTTGTACCAGGACTTCCATGTGGTGACATCAAAAAATTCCTTCAAGTATGAACACCCAGGTGGAAGTCTGCTCTAACGGGAGCATCAGTCAGCTCACAGAGATCCATGCATTGGAGGTGATAAAGACCATGGTTTTACAGCTGGTGCTAGCCACAGAGATCCCATAGTAAGGAAGACTCAGAATTGCCTTTAAGAAAGTTGGATTATGCCATGCTAGTTAGCATGAACCCTGGCTGCCTATTTAATTCAGAGCAATAGTTCTGATTAAAGTCTTACATTGGTTACCTTGGGAGCTACCTGTCATCAAGCAGAGGTGATTGAACATGTCATGGGAAGTTGCAGATGATGGATCAAGCTCTACTTTCTACAAAAAAAGGGTGTGCCTTCACTGAATAATAGGCAAAACCTAGATCTTAATTAAACCTGCACTTTTATGAAATGAAAGTGTCTGACATTGTGCATTTGACGTCAAGTGCACTTGACGTTAGTCTGGATAACAAATTGTGTAAGAGAAAGCAGTTAAAGGGCTGTTGTTTCCATTGTTATAAAACACTTGAAGCTAAATCTAAGAGCCCAAATATTCTGGTTTAAGAATAGTTTGAAATAGTATATAGTATGGATATGGGATATTTAGTGTGGTATTCAGTTTTCTCTTCATGTATTTAAAGTTTCCCAAGTTTATCTCGTATTTTCATGTGGCTTTTAACATATATTACCAGTATGGTCAATACATCTTGAAAAGTTTACACAGATTTTTCAGAGTTCCAAAGGAAACTTCAGTTATCAGTGTGCTTTTTAGGAATTTTATTAGCTTATTATCTTTAACCTTCATATGTATATATATTTATTCTTGCCTAATCATGTACTTCAAGCAAGAAATACTGTATCTATTGCTTTTCCTTTAAATATATTTAATTATATCTGCTTCTCTAGGAAACAAGCAACTGGTAGATTTTTTCATATACTTCTTTATAAAGCTTATTTTCTCTGATTATTCCAAGATTCCTATGACTTGCACCACTAGTATTTATTAGTGTAAAACTGTTTATGTCACTAGTTTTACTTTGTTCATTTGAAGTAACTGTAGAAAGTTTTAAAAAAAGTTAAAAATACATAAATATTTTTCAGTATAATAATTAGAAGAAATCTTCAGAATGGAAGTATATAATCATATGTGATAATGCAGTCCTTAGTCTTTGAACTCCTTACAGTACAAGGAGGTTTTAAGCATAAGTTATGAGATCAGTGTTAGTTTGTAGCAAACACTTAAAGAGCAGGCAGTGGAAAAGGGAGGGTACCAACAGTAGCATTTGCCATTTTCAAACAAAAGAGTAACATCTGTATGACTGTAGCCAAAGTAATTGTGACAAATGCTGTCAAAGAGGCCAGATTTTCTTTTTCAGATTCATCACCATCTGTCACAGGAAAACCACAAGATGTGAATAGGGAACTTTAGGTGAAGACTTCAGGAATCTTGTTCCTGACATTTCTTACCTGCTGCAGATATGGACAGCATTGTTGTGTGTATCTGCGTGAGGTGGAGCAAAGCAAGCATAGAGTATAGGAACTGTTAGGGAACTGGGAGAAAAATGAGGCTGAAGAACATAACAAAAAAAGGGCAGGACTCCAGCATAGCTGTGTTGAACACGAGAAGGTGCTGCAGAATAAAAGTAGTCTGAGACGATGCTGGTTAGCAACCCAGGGAACGGGCCTGGGTTGCTGATTGGAAAAAAAGAAGAGGACTACCGAGTGATGGGGTAATACAGATATGCTGCTATGGCTTTACTCCTGCAACCTCAAGAAGTAAAAGTGCTGCTACTGGGCTCCCTGCATTGCTAGTATCTGTGGGACAGGCAAAATGTGAATGTATGCTCTAAAAAAAGAGACAGAAGATGGAGCCCAGTTACATATGTGTAGGATGAGAAAAAGTGGAGGGTCCCTAATACACGAGTATCGCAGATTCCCACCCACCTTAGGTATGTATTGTGACAGTAACAGATGCTTAATTCCTTTGTTCGCATCTTATTTTCTTGTTTGAGCTTATCACTGAGTTTCAATGTCTTGTGTCCTTTAAATCTACAATAGTCCAAAACGCATTTTAAGTATAAACAAAACCCAAATCTATCCTTTTTCTTCCCTCCCAGTTGGTCTCTAAACATGGATAGATGTCTGTGGATCTGAAAAATCCACTAAAACTACTAGTTTGCCAAAGTATCAAAAAACAATAGTTCATCTATAGCCCAGCCCACTCGTAACCTTCCAATAAAATGAAAATCAGCTACTGAGCAACACAAATCTAATTTGTTGGGGAAAAAGAAGTAGTTGTGGATAATTACAAATGTGCTATTTCACTAGTTTATAGGAGTTTTAAAAGACTATTTTAATTGTATTAGTGATCACAATTAATATAAATGGTCAGATTCTACTTGCGAATTTAGACCTTTGTGGAGAAGTATCACATAAGAAAATTTTGTTCCCTAATATTCAGGAGTTAGTCCGAGCTTGAGAACTGATCCTAGCTAGTAGCCTTATGGCAGAAACCAGAAGTGTTTACCTATTGTCAGACTAAATAACTCTTCTTACACTAGAAAGCCATTTTAAGAAATGGCTTTGAAATCTTGTCGTGCTCTGTGTAAGTGGTACTACGTTCAGAACTTTGAAACATCTTGAATGCACCTTGGACTAATGATAAATATACACTTTGTGGAGAAAAAGGATGGTTTAGTAAGTGGAAAAATACAAAACCCATTTCTCTACAGTTTAGTCTGTGAAATGATGAAAAAAAATAAAGCTTGCATTATACTTTTCTGTGAGAGGATATGTCTAACCCACTCAAATTTAACTGATGCAGTAGAAAAGCTTTGAGGAGGAAGGATGGTTAATTTTATGGAGACACCTGTGGATGTTAAGGCCTGTGTGGTAGAGAGAAAGCCTTCCTTTCTACTACTAGAGGTTGTTTAAGAGTGCTGACAGTATTAATGATTGTGTGGAGAATAACAAGTGGAGGCTTGTTACACTGAAACATGCCTACTAGTTGAGCAAAGGAGTTGTCTGACAAAAAGAGATGGACTTCGTTTAAATAGACTACCAGCTTGAGATGGGAGTGAATTTAGTTACTGTTCCTTTGTATTATGAGTTTGTATTTACATGATAGGATGTAAAGATACAGATCAAACTTCCTAAGGAAAGGGAGAATTTCCTACTCTGATGCATCTGTATGGGTAACAATATTATTCACTTACTGTTCGCAAGTAAGTATCATTATATAATAGCTAATTTGTTCCTTGCTTTCTGGATTTACAATTGAAAGGTTGAATCCCTGGCATCTTTCCTAGTTAGATCAAAGTATTTACCTGTTTGCTAACTTACCTGTCCTTACACTATTGTATTAATTCTACTATTAATTAATTGTTTCCATGATTCCATCCCTGAACACATGATGTATGGATAAGAGATTCATCTCTATAGCTGCATGTTTCAGATTAAGATAACAAGTAATGTAACAGTTATTGGACATTAGAAACATTCTCCATTGAAGCTGGATTAGTTTAGGTATATTTTAGGAACTCAGGCAGAAAAATATTTAAAGTGTTGAGTTTAACGTAAAGTTGGGATGCTGAGTTACTTCTAATGTTTTAATGTATTACCTCTGCCCTGGCCATTAGAAAAGTCTTTTCTAATTTCTAGCTGGAATCCTTTCTTGTTGCAAAATTAAACAAATTATGTCTTATTTATGCACACTAGATAGAGAGAATGGCTTGTAACCACTTTATGAAATTGAATAGCTCCATCATGTTTTCCTGCAGTCTTTTCGTTAGGAGAAATAATCCCAATTCCTTTTAGTTGTGCTTGTAACTTGAGTTTTCTAGGTCTTTGGTCACCCATGTTGCTTTTCTTTGGGCTCTTAGAAGAAGCACCCATATGTCTTTATGGTGTTCTTAATTAAATACAGTATTCCAGCAACAGTGATGACTTCAGGTGTTTTATAAACAGTGGTTCTATGAATAAATTCCTGTATGTTGTCTTTTTTAAAGTGTGACATGGTTGACATGCTTACTTTGTGATCCACTGCAACCCCTACATTTTGTACAGAACTATGTCTAGCTGTTCACAACTTAGCTTTTATTTCTGCTGTTAATTACTCCTGTATGACTTAATTCTGCTCTTTCCTTTAAATTTTATCCTGTTTTGAGACTATCCAGGTAATTTTCCAAGAATATTTTCAATTTCAAGATTGTACTCTATCATGGTTGCTTCTACACTGCCATCCATAAATATGCTGTCTTCTATCACCAAAGTTATTAATGAAATTATTAAACAATACCATACCCATAATGAAGCTGTGTGACTCTGCTCAGTATTTTTTTCCAGTTTGACAGTGAAGCACTAATAACTTACTTGTACTTGTTTTCCAGACATTTGTACATTTATCTTGCTCACATTTCCATAACTTGTGAGAATGCCATGCAAAAAGGTGTCAATGCTTTAAAAAAATAAACTAAGATGCTTAACATCTATTGCTTTTTCTCACTGACTCTCTCCACAAGATGTGTATTTTGTCAGAGAGTGAAAATATCTTGGCTTGACAGCATTTGTTACTGACATCCATACAGGTTCTTACATATCCCTTTGTCAGAGGTCACATTTTTGTCTCAGGTAAAGGTTGAGGACAGAACGTACATTAGTCCTTTTGTATCCTTGCGTGTCAGTTTTCTAGAAATAGATAGTTTGAAGTACTTTTTTGGTTGGTTGGCTTTTGGTTTTTATTTTGGCACATGGTGAAATTCTCCCAAGTATCTGTAGGAATTAGAGGTACATCTAAGCAAAAAGGGAGGGAATAAACCCATAGACATGAGAGGTGAACGCAATGAAAATCCCAAGAAATCAGAATAGCTTACAGTTAGTTTATCAACACTACTAATAATACATTTTAATTAAATTACTATAAAAAGCACCTGCAACCTATCTGCATTTATAAAGCTTTCATGTGTATAGCTATGTATATATTAACTCATACTAAAATGTACACCATGGACCTACAGCTGCACATATAAAAGGGCTGCTGCTGCCAGTACAGGGAATTGTGCACTGAGTCAACTCTTCACAAATAAGCTACAGCTGTTGTGTTTTGTTCTGTAACAAATTTGCTATCTGCTAACTGTATGCTGCTGTGAATAATTCACAGCTGATGCACGTGGACTTTTATACAATGACTTCGAGTAGGGGGTACCCTTTATTTATTGCAAATATTAGCCAGATTAAGCCAGTTACTTCAAGTACTCTTGAGAGGAGAATGGGGAATACCTTAGGCAAAGGACAATTGTGACTATAGTCCTATGAATTCTCATGTATGAAACACAAAATTCACTGCTTTGCTGTGCAGCAGAATGTCATTACTGTTATGAAAAAACTTACCTTTATCCTTCCATGCACATTGGGCTTACTGCCAACCGAGTAAGAAGCCTGGCACATCTTTTATAGTCTGTCATGAAAAAAGACCATAAATCGATTACTAAAGTAACCAGTTTTGCCGTTAAAAATCAAAATTGGTAACAGCGTGCAGATTATTGTTGTAATAAAGTTCAATGAACACCTTAATTTGCAAGAGTATAGAAATCAGCTCCTCAGACATGGAGTGTGTAAAAATTGCGTAACCGAAAGCCCTATCTAATGGCACATGTAACTATGCAACTGACTTCTGCGTATGTACTACCTATAAACAAATACATGAATGTGCTTGGAGGCTCTCCAAGTGTACGTATGTATGAAAATTTATACATCTGTGTCCGTGCTTAAATGTGGAATCTAAACATGTGACTAGTATTTCCATACTAGAGGCAGAATAAGTAGTGCTCACTCGTCTTTGAACCCTAGCCCTCAGTCAGCAAGTCTGTCAACTTAATACTAAGTACTGCAACTCTCCAATAAATTTTCTTCCTGGAAAAATTGTTAAATTAGACAAATAACATCTCCTAGTCATAGAAGTTTTAAGTCCAGCCTGAGCCACATCTTACAAATTCATTCATAACTGTATCAATTTTAATCTTAAAACTAGTAAATTTTTTTTTCCCCCCATATTCCTACTGTTAGCAGTTCTTATTTTAGGTTCCTTCTGCTTTTTTGATGCATTGATAATAAGGGGTAGAACCAATGCAAAACTACAAAATCAATCAACTTTTTTTTTCTCTTAATATGACAAACAAAGCAATTATTGTGAAAGTTGGTTATGGACAGACAGCAGAGTGAATTACTTTTTAGGTGCCGATGATACTATGCTAGTACTAGAAGTTATTCCAACAAAATGCTTTTGTACTGGCTACCACCATGTTGCAGCATCACAGATGCTTTTAATTTCTCTGTTGTTTGGCCTTTGAATTTCTACATAGAACGAACAGTAAGTATTACCTGAAATCAGGATATTATCAAAAAGTAACATCATGCATGTCCATGAAGAATTAAAGCAGGTTGTTTACCACAGTTTTCTAAAAGAAAGTTACTTTAAGGAGATGCTAGTCAGTCCAGTCCGGTGACTGATGTTGATTTTCGTTAGGCATTACTTCATTAATGAGTAACTACATCTAATGTTTCCTAGAGATGCAATGTTAACAATCCCTAACTCACAGCATAGATATGCTGTAATTGCCATTCATACAAATTATCCTCCATTACCCAGACATTATGTTGTATGTCACCTGTCAGGAGTAAAAGGCTAATTCAGACTTTGAGACCAACTAGTTTTTAGCTTCACAGCTTGGAGTACTCATTAGTGCTGAGTCAAATGATGTTTGTGTGGTGAACCTTATGAAAAAGTAGTATGATTGTTTTGCTTGTTCAAAACAGACTAGTTATGAACAACTTCCATCTCCATCCACGTAAACAGAATGTGATCTGGTTAGCCCTTATCTAGAAATCCTTATCTTTCCAAAGTATTCCTAATCTGAAGCCTTACAAATAGGAAAAAAGCCTGCAGTTCTTCCCAAATATGCCTTTAAAATATACTGGGCTGAAATATTTATTAATACTTAAAACTTGGAATCTGTAACTCTTGTTTCTATTCCCAGCTCTGCTACTGACCCAACTGGTTGACCTCAGACAAGTAAAATAAAGTGTGCTTCCATTCTGAAAAGGCTGTACTAAAATAGCATCTGCTTGCTCAACAGGTCCACCTCAGTATGAATCTGGAGTAACATCTACTGACTGATAAATGTCAGTGTTTGATTTTTTTTTTTTAAACTCTCTGTGCTGTTAACACTGCTGAGATAAGCTGCATTTTCTTATTTGTATCCATCAGCACTTTTTTCAAAAGATTTTTTTTTTTTTTTACTAAGCATTAGATAGTTATGCTTTTGTAATTCACTGAAAACAAGCATTGCAAAGATCCACTGCCAACATCCCTGGTAGACTGGTAGCTGAATAGTCAAAATATAAAATGTTCTACATAAATAATGAAAAGGAAATAGCCCCACCTACATTTCTGATCCTATCTTGAATTTGAAGCACTAGCAATTAAATATCAGAGGTTTGCAAAAGGAGTCATATGTTCCTATGAAAAACAAACACCTCTGGTTTGGAACGGAAGAGGCATACACATCAGTACCTAAGGAAGCCGTGTTTACAGCCATTCTGTGCAGTGTATTTTGCCATGAAAAAGTTGTGTTTTCCTCAATGTAATGCTGATGCTGTTCTAGCACAGCTGTAAAGCGTACTTAGTATGTTAGAGCACTCCGAATTCTTTATTGCAAATAATGTATTCTAACATTGTATCACTACTGGTATGTTATATAGCTATTTTAGAGTCTTCCGTTGTTTCATGAAAGTCTCTGGTTTTGGCACTTACATGCTGGGATGGTGCAGTCCCTTGTATTGTGATAAAGCCGATGAAAGTGTTTACTACATTTTGGGCTAAAGTAGAGTGGACCTGAAATATAAAGAAAAAAATCAATTATGAATCAGCACAGCTCACAGGAAGAAGAGTGGTATGTATGTGAAATGACCAATACAAAATTAAAACATACCTGTTAAATGCTTTAAAAATTTGTCTTTCATCCTCAGATCTCTGAAAAAAAAAAAAAAAAAAAGAGTAGTCACTCTGCTGGACTGGAACTGTGCTTGCCAAGCAAAGTATGAGGACAGGGAATAAACTCTGTCCAGCAAACATCACCACTACACCCTGAGAGATGCACAGAGGCTGGAAGTCATTTGCATACAGTAGGCTAAACTGCAAGCGTTGTTTCACGTAAGAAACCACTGTAAAATGCACTGTGAAACACACTGGGATGATGGAACAAACAATGTCTGTTAGGTGTGCAGTCATTAACACAGATGACGACTAACTGTAAGTCAGATTTTAGCTCTCTATGAATTACATTACCAAGTTTACCTATATATAAATTCTTCCAGAAATTTTAGTTTGGAAATGACATATTCCATTAGCAGTAAAGACCCAAAGATATATTCAAGTTTGGTTTAGTGTCTTCTAATTCTGCAAATGTATCCATTCTTTTGTCACAGGTATGTCTGTACAAGCACTGTCCTGTGGTAATCATGAAACTGGACTGATGTACTTACAGGAATTTTTATTTTTTTTCCCTCTAGCAGTAAATAAAATTCACAGGAAATTATCCCAAGCAAATTGCTCTCTCCTGGCTCCCTCCGTTTGTGGTTTACCGCCTTGCGTTTTGTGTTCAGCAGATGGCAAAATGAAACTGGTTTACTGAAATCCATTTTAGCCCTAACCCTTTCTTGTGTCTTCCTGATTTACAGCTATCTTTGATTGCTTTCTGTTACGAACTCTATGCTGATAGCTTAGTGCTGATTGTGTGTGGTACACTACATGGTGCTTTATTTATTTGACCATAAATGCCAGAGCAGCCTTTTTCATTCCCCTGACACCTCTTATCAGATATAAAGCACAGAGAGCATTTCCATCCAGATCTGATTCACTTGTGAGGTTAGACACTTCTCGAAAGTCATTCTTCATTTACTTCTAACTTTAGTCAGTGTAAGTAAAATTGACCTTATCATATTTGACCTAATTATGTCATGAAGAGCATTAAAAACACACATGCTTCACTCAGAAATTTCCCATGGGACAGGCTCACTGGGAAATTGATGCCAAAACTGAAATGAAAGACTCTAAGCAGTAGTTCCTTTCAGAGTTACTGGGAATAACTCCGTTTTAATAACAGAATGAAAAATCCTGCTTAGGAGTCAATGACACCACTAACTAATCTGCTGTGAAGTAGGTTTATTATTTATGTAGATAACTCTTCAGCACAAACCAGAAGTTTTGCACCAATATGCTGATGCAGGGTGGCCAAAAAACATTCCCACGTTCCATGTTGAGATCGAGATATGCAGATCAGGATTCCCTGCTTAGCCTGGCCTCTTTAACTTTTCAACGTTTATAAGACAAAATGTTCTCACTATGCTGATCTTAAGTGGAACAAAATTGACTTCCTTTGTATATTCATTAATGATCCAGATGGAGAAGTAACATTTTCATGACAACCACCAACAAATGCAAATCGTGAGGATGTTTGAATATGGATAACAATGAAGAAAAGGTACAATGAAGCTTTATGAGATCAATAAAGCAAAAATAAATAGCACACTAGCAAAATGAAAGTCAGTTTGAAAGTAAGTGAGTAGACATCTGCTGGAAAATATTCAGAAAGTCACTTTCAGTAGGAGGGGTAAGATAAGCAGCAGTAATGCTGTAGCGGTTTGGGAATGACTGAAGAGTAAATTAGACATGGCAGCAGCAAAAGCCAAATCAACTTTCAACTGGATGCACAGAAGTACATCACGAAACTGAGCGGTAACTATCCATCACTATGTGGCGTGGTGCGACTGCTTCCGGATGCTCCGTACAACTCTGGGCGTCTTACAAACAAACCTGGGCTTTCACAGGAGGTCAGAGAGGAGCCACTCAAAGGAGTGGAGGGATGACTGCAGAAGTGTCCCGGGGTGGCCATAGCTGGTACAGTGACTGAGCAGTACCCTGTTCCAGTTCCCTAGTATTTCAGAGGTGCTACCTCTGGAGTACAAGAGGGACTGACAAGCAGGGTGAAAAGTTTAATGAAGCTGAACTGTACGAAAAACTTCTAGATGTGGAATCTATTAAGGATGTGCTATAGTCCTGCAGGGGAATCCTTGCTAGGGTCATTTCCAAGCAAGACTTGAACCACACATATTTTAGAGAGTAAATTTCCAGGAAAAAAAAAGTGTTTTCATCTCTTATTTCTTTGATTTCAGCCCTCTTCAGTCTTTTCCTTTATTAATCGGTTTCGTTCAAAGCTGGAAGTCAGGCTTTCAGTTGAGTACATTATCCAGAGAGTAAGAGACTCTGAGATGTGAATGGAGTTTTTCCATTCCACATGTGCCGTTTGTGTCTGTTTCTGATACCAAAGGAAATGTGCAGGTATTTTGAAGGGTGAATCCTTGATATAAAATCAGTAACCTGATGTGATTGATGTCTCATTCACCAAGGCACCCTAGAGAAAAAGAAAGATCTCCAAAGTCATGGACTGTGACTTACCAACTCTCTGCTCATCCTGGTATCCTCCGTAGTCTGCCACTTCCCTTCGATCTAAGTTATAGTCGTGCTTGGAGAAGTACTGCACCCCACTGTCCTTCTCCAGGTGGTACCTTTTCAGTTCCTGAATGATCTCCATGATTAGATTTAAGAGACTTTGCCGGTCTTTCAAATCTGCGGAGTCAGTTTTCTCTTTGCAATATCCTGCTGAGAGCATTAAGAGCACCAGCCCCAGCAGCCCAGGAGACCTCAGTCCACTCATCGCAGTCTGACTCGCAGGGTGCCGGAGCGGACGGAAAGGAAGGATCCGCCGCTGTGGGAGGCCGCCTATTTCACTGGAAGAGAAAAACGGGGGTGGGTCGGAGGTGGGGAGACTCGGGGAGGGTGAAATCTGACACGTTACGGGAGGAGAGCGCGCAGCCCGGTCCGCAGGTTGCCGGTCCGCAGGTTGCCGGTCCGCAGCGCA